GCTCTCTTTTAATGCCTTTGTGTCTGGTACCGGGAAACGGCTTCTGTAAAGGCACCGAATTCGGAAGTTGGAGTTCGATAAAAATCTAGTATTTATGGTCAGTAGCAGAAACGCAGACTGCGGTGTTCGCTACCGCCGTAGGCGTCGTTTCAACTGTCGCACAAGTGTGTGAGGATTAAGCCGACGCAGTTTCAAAATGTCGATGGTGTTTGTCGTCGTCGGCGAGTCAGTGAATTTCATTCCAGGCCCTTCTTCTTCCGGTTGGTGAAGTAATGACAACTATGTTATAAGAATAACAAGTTATTACATGGCATGACAAAAGAAAAAGGGAGGAAAATCACTACTTGCTGGGATATCTGTCTCGATTACACCTTTATGGTTTGGCACCATTTGTGGTACCTTTCCTTTTGTGAGGTTTATCACATGGCGTTAAACTCTGTTTATACTTCAATTACCTCACCACCCGAAATATGAATGAGTGTGCTCAGAGATGAAGTTTTAGAATCCATCCGAATGATGAAGCATAGAATGTCTATTGACTTTTGCAATGTTCCTACAGAACTACTTAGATACGGTAATACAGGTTCCCCATGAACTTTAAAACTTCATCTGGCGACTTCATCTCGGGAAAGTATCAAGGAGATTCTACCTATTTCAAAGAAAATAAATCCGAAACAGTGCGAAACCTACTGCACCATCAGCTTCATTAGCCACCCCAGTAAATTCTTACTGAAAACTGCGTTTAGCAAAACCACCCTTGCAGAGAAGGTACACCCATTGGAAGAACAAGTTGTACTTCGCAAAATATATTCTCTCTCTGGCTGCTACGCGAAAAATTTCGAAATTGAAACCATCAACTCATATATCTCTCTTTCGTCGACTTTCAAGTAGCTCTGAACAAGAAATGACAGAAAGGATTATGGACGGTTCTGATGAAGAATTCACTTCAGCGAGCGATTCGGTTTGAATCTCTCTATGAGGATCCGGAGGAGGTCGGCACTTTAAGTGAATGGATTAAGGTCCCGGATGGTGTTCTAGAAAGTACAAAGATTGTTCGACGTCTTTCTCTAAAAAGGTTATATACAATGGATTTGCCGAATCGGTCTCAGTTGGTGCCCGTCAGCTCGGCCATCTTCATTTCCCCGATGACATTAGCGTACTGGCAACATATGAACAAAATATTTAAATGTTCGAAATGATGTGCTTTCATATGCTGCTGCGGATTCCAGGCAGCAGTGCTACCACAGGAGGTAGTTGATACATGTACAACATCTGGTACATCTCGCCTTTGAGTGACTTTCCCATGCAATAGTTGTTATGAAAGGCATATTCAAGACAGAAAGCTGAGATGACTCCACTGCAAATGTTGGGGTAACAGTTTAACGAATGGTGCAGAAATTAAGATTAACAGCCTAACCAAAAAGAAATTATAATGTGTATAATAAACAACAACTCAATTTTGCTATATATTAAGAAACTGTGGAAGTTTCGTTTCAAATTTTTTATATATGCTTTTATTTTGATTTTGTGCGCTGAAAAGCGAGACTTTTGATGATCTTGTGCAAACAATAAACCATGAAATAAAAGCGCTTAAAAGTGTGATCTTCAGGTTTTGGGCAGAACTGTTCATGCTTATTCGTACCAGTAAATCGTTATCAGGAAACTGGCAAATGGTTGTTCCGAAGCTGGTCCAAGTTACGGTCACGTGCATTCAAGAGTGGCCGGTTGGTATCTTTCGCCTGACTGCGTACAGCAAGAAGACAAGCAAAATTCTCGACACGGTCTTCTATCATCCAGGTGAGTGCATAAATACATTTTTAATGAATTTTGAATATGTAGTAAGACCCGGAAATTGCAATGTCTGTCCTCGCCTGCTCCCAGGCGTGGCGAAGGGTTTTTCCAACGCTGAACCGGCACTGGTGCTTTGTATGCATTTTACGGGTGTTCCTTTGGATACGGTAAGCAGTTGGTTCTGATGACGATTACAAACAATTGCCGTCCTTTTTTGAGTCAGAAGGCAAGCTTATGGCTACGACGACAATTTTAGAACTGCCCTGGTGAGGTAAGATGAGGGCTGTTCAGCTGGGAAAGAAGGCGCGGAAAATACTTACCTTATCGTTGAGAAGGTCTTTAGTTGTTAACCGGGATCAGTGGTATGTTGATTCTTAATGAATCATTCTGGTAGATCCAAACTTCCTATTTAAATCAAGATGAATGAAGCGCTTGGCTGTTTTCTAACCCGATTGTGTCTTTTTAACCGGCGGCACTTGCTTAAGAAATCTTCCCAATGTCCGTTACCTTCTGCTGATGCTTAACAATTATAATGAAGCAAACTCAAAAAATAAACTGGGTAAAATTAAATAATTGGGAATTTAAAGTGCCATGAATAAATTCTTACCAGAACGCCACTGCAATTCAGTTCAGTAGGTGCCTAAATGAGAAAGTCCGACATGCAGCCAAAACATGAAATCGATGTTGTTATTTCAGTTTTAGCCATAATGGCACAAAATGTCTCAACGTTACATGTAAAGGATAAGAGAATAACACAGAAAAGATGGTAACGTTCAACGATAAGTGTTGACTCTTGACGAACAAAATTTTTTTCCTAAATTGCCACATATTCATACCCAGTTTTCCAAGTAAATAAGCACCTGTACATCAGCTGCAGAACGAAACTCTATCGTTCGTAGCCAAGGAGTGATAAGCACTTAACCATTATCCATTCACCTTTTCTGTAATTCCCTAATTTTTTGACTTCGGCACTGCTTTATTGTTATTCTTCATGTCTCACCTGTTCGCCTCTCAAATTTCTTCTTCACTTGTTTTTGACTTCATTATCTTCTCGATAATCTCCTCTGCTTATTTATGCTTCTGCTTCTATACGTGTTGTTTTTTATAGTTTTTTTTCGTCTTGCTTTTCTCGCTTGCAGTTTATCCTTCTTTTCCCAACTGATTCCGCTCCTGCTCTGTTTTTCTTTTCTAATTCCCCTTTTGCCTTTACCATTACTCTGTTTTTTCTTCTTCTTCTTCGTCGTTTCTTCCTTTTCCTTCTGCTTCTTTAAATTTTGTCCACTTCATCGTTTCAGTCCATTCCTTCCTTTTCCCTCAATCCTTTCATTTTTGCGCATTTTTGCCGATCTCCCTCGTCACTCTCTTTCACCTTCAGAGCATCCCGTATTTTTGGCTCGTCTTTCCTTCCAACAACTCCAATTTTTTTGATTCCTTCTGCAGTTTCTTCTACCGTTCGTTAAGATTATCGTTCTGTCACGTGCACTCGTTAAGTCTTCCTTGTAATGAAGCCGCTACCAATTTCTCCAGTTTGTAATCTAATTAAAATAGAATCGATATTCGCCAAAAAGCCAAAGGTTAGGGAAATCAGTTTATAGAAAAACATACGAACAATGACCGGAAAAAATATGGGCTTTTCATGTGTAGCGCTGACATAAGCGAAGGGTTTTTGCGTTGCACTTGCCCACCGAAAGCGTAATTGAACTTTAGTGCGAATGGCGTGTAACTTTGGCAAAGTGTTTTCGGCGGCATTCGGCAGTCACTTTTTCATCCAGGCAGGTCATCAAGAGCCGGACACACATGCAGAAGCGGTGGACTCGAAGTGAACAGCGGCAAAAGTTTGCCTTCCTTTCACAAAAGCCCTCTTTCGCTTTCGACCACGTCTAAAGTGCTTTTCGCAAAACGATTAACGTTTTTCACAAGGTTGGAGTAGAGGGGGGGCACTTGAGCGGCGAGTTATTTACCTCCTGCTTATTTGAGCAGAAACTGGTTAAACGAGGTTGAACGTCACCCGGAGAACCGGCGGGCTCGAATTTACAACTCACCTCGTGAGTTCTTGCCTTCGAGTGCTCTCCGGATAATGAGTGTTTGAAATGTTACATGAAGCCGGAAGTGCAGCTATGCCATCGTCGTTCTTCACACTTGCATAAGTAACTGTTATGTTAATCGATACTTTCAATTAATGTCAAATAGTCGTGATGTATTTGATTTGGCTACCTTTATACAGGAGGATAGCGGTTGCATGATCACGTGATACTGTGCCTTCGTTAGTTTTTGACCTTGGTCAACGCTATGAAATTTCATAGAGGTTTCAACGGCGCCCTCTTGCGTCCCATGTCACCTCCGATGTATTCAGGCTCCGCATGACCCAATGACTTGTGTATAATTAACTGCTCAATTCGAAATGAACGGTGCGCTAAAATTAAAATTAAAATTTTATGACAATCGGATGCTCCTGGGAACAACTGTCAATCAAAACACAACGTAGTTCC